GTCCTTTAACCACCGGGTTGTCGACTGAAGTACAGCAGAGTGGAGGCGCCGTACGAAAGTTAAGTGTAATTTCGTCAGATTATGAGGGGCTAGACGAAGATGTAGGTTCCTTTCCCAATGTGTTGGGCGAGGATAGTGAGTTAGAGCGCTTTGCACAGGACAATGATACCCTGCTGGAGGAAGGGGAATTTTCCCAAGGTGATCCCAATCAGGGCCCTGTGGGGGGCAGACTAAGGGAACACATTTCCTCTTGGGAGGCTCTACAACCTCCTGAGTATGTACTCAAAATTCTCCGGCAAGGGTACATCCTTCCTTTGACTACAATACCAGAACCCCAGATCCTTCGGAACAACAAAACTGCTTTGGAAAACGAGTCTTTCGTAACCGAAGCTATCACTGACTTATTAGCTTGTCAGAGCATAGCGATGGTGGATCTCCCCCCTCTAGTGGTCAACCCCTTGTCAGTGGCCACAAACGCTAGGGGTAAGAAACGTTTAGTCTTAGATCTCAGACACGTCAACCCTCACTTACACAAACTTAAATTTAAATGCGAGGATGTTGACACAGCAGTACTCTTACTGAATCCTGGTGATTTCTTGTTCACATTTGATATCAAGAGTGCATACCATCATGTAGAAGTTTTTAAAGATCATCAAACATATTTAGGTTTTCAGTGGGTTTATAACGGCAAGTCCCAATATTTTATTTTTCGGGTTCTGCCCTTTGGGCTTTCTACTGCACCTCTGGTGTTTACTAAAATTTTAAAACCAGTACTTCGACATTGGAGGTCCTCAGGTAAAAGAGTCTGCATGTTTCTGGATGATGGCTTAGGGGGTGGTTTATCACTACAGAGTGCCACCATAGTCTCACAGGCAATCAAGAGAGATCTGATTCAGTTAGGGTTCCTTCTCAGCGAGAGTAAGTGTTTTTGGGAACCAATGCCGATACAAACATGGCTTGGCCACATTTTTAATATGTCTCTTAATCAGTTGTTTGTTACCGAAACACGGTTACAGAAATTGGAACAATCTCTAGATAACATCTTAGGGTGCCCCAAAAAAGTAACGGCGAGACAACTGGCAGCAGTAGCAGGGCAAATAGTGTCCATGTCCCGGGCTATAGGCCCAAAAGTTTATCTGTATACACGCCATATGTATTTCGCTATAGAGACTAGGGAACATTGGGGATCCATTTTGTCATTCAATTCTAAACTCACAACAGAATTGCAGTATTGGGTAAGCAATCTCCGCACCCTTAACGGTAGGGACATGTTCAGAGAACCACAGCTTTTTGACACCATCGTGTACTCAGATGCCTCAGACCAAGGGTATGGGGTACACATTTGAATTCTTGTTCAAACTTCATATTTGCCATGTAGCTAATTTTAGGCGGGTTTACACGACAAGCGTTTTGGGCACGGCACCCCTGAAAATGGGCACCGTGCCAAAACTCCCACTTCACTATTTACTCGTTTACACGACAACTTTTTGTAGACACACTTTTATGATAAGCACCATGCATGCCCATCGGAAAACGGCACCTCTACTTTCCGTTTACGACGGTATATTTTAAAGAATAAAGATGTCGGACAGAAATAGAATTGCATATTTATCATACTGTTTATTGGAACGAAGAAGAGTATTATATGAGCTGAAAATCGAGGGGAAAAACTATTCAATACTAGAAAAGTACTTTAAGGGCCAGTTCAAATGATATGGGCAAAAGTTAGCCTTGTTAGCGAGAAAACTTTTCGACAAGTTTACAAGCGAGATCTCGCCTTGGTATGAAAATAATATGAAAAGTTACACTGCGTTCATATCAAGACAAAAAGTTTTTCCATGTATACCGAGATCTTGCTTGTTGACAAGCCAGATCTTGGTGACCGGGGTAGTGTTTTTCCCATATGAACACAACTTTCCCGCTCGGCAGGATAACTTTCTGTCGCGTCAGCAACTTTTCAATTCAATTGATATTCAGTGCTATGTCACAGCCGGAAACTTTACCCGGTACGCGGGATAACGTTTCTCCATGTGAACATTTGGCTAGTCGAAAAGTTTTCTCGTTAACCGGGATAACTTTTGCCCATATGAACCGGACTTTAAAGACGAAAGGAGTTTTCTCGCGTAAATGTTGTGCCATCTTGTATTCACCCGCCACGAATTCGAGAGGTATGGATGCATTGAAGGACAGCCATTTGCTACGACTTAGTTACTGCTCTATTCAGCGACGAACAGAGGTATCAAAATTTCCGAGCTAACTAGACCAACATTCACATTCTGTGCTATTTAAATTTGTTTTTTAACTTTTTATTTTTATTTTTGGCAAGTTGTAGTTTTTCGCCACTTGCTGCCATGTCGGAAAGAGTATAATTCGTTTTGTGCTTGCTCGATGTCGAACACATTTTTTATTTTTTTCGAAATTTGGGCAACGCACCGCTTGCTAGACGTGCAAACACTACCCACAGGAGGCCCAGGCTCGATTTGCCCGCGCCCGCCTGTGCCTTCCTTATAACGAGGGAAGGAAGGAAACATTGAGACCAAAATAGCCCAGACTTGGCATATGTCACACGAAACTATCCTCGATTATTCGCCTTTAATGCATTTCTTTCACGATTAATGGACATCCCCTGCAAGAATGATATCGTATAACTCTCAAAACAACGATGCTTTAATCAAAGAGCTTAAATTCGCTCTGAAATCCGTGAGGGAATAACAAAATTTGGCCAAAATATATCCGCGTGCCGGGTTGCTGGACAAAAAGCGCAAGTCGTTGAACAACTCAAAATACACTCAACCCTGATTGGACGACGAATATCAACAAACATTTCAAATTTTCAGTAGTCAGTAATGTAATATAAATTTGAATCAAAACAATTAACAAATTTGTCGGGGGAAAACCAGTGCAAATCTAATTATTTAAATTTAAGAAGTTTAGTCAGTAAATACGGATCGTAATTTACCCTATTTGACAAGATGTTTCAGCGTAAAATTATAGCTATATTTGCAGTTATATTTACAGTAACACATATAATCGACTTGTAGTAGACTTTATAACGTTTGTGAATTGTTTTGATTCAAATAATCAAATTATTACAGTACTGTTCCATTGTTCCAAGTTCCAAGTCTCCCTTCCCAGTCGAGGAAAATTTGAAATGTTTGTTGATATTTGTCGTCCAATCAGGGTTGAGTGTATTTTGAGTTGTTCAACGACTTGCGCTTTTTGTCCAGCAAACCCGGCACGCGAATATATTTTGGCCGAATTTTGTTATTCCCTCACGGATTTCAGAGCGAATTTAAGCTCTTTGATTAAAGCATCGTTGTTTTGAGAGTTATACGGTATCATTCTTGCAGGGGATGTCGATTAATCGTGTAAGAAATGCGTTAAAGGCGAATAATCGAGAATAGTTTCGTGTGACATATGCCAAGTCTGGGCTATTTTGGTCTCAATGTTTCCTTCCTTCCCTCGTTATAAGGAAGGCACAGGCGGACGCGGGCAAATCGAGCCTGGGCCTCCTGTGCACTACCTCGTGAGAAAGTCTCGGAATGTTTAAATTTTGCGGTACCGGTGCTGTTTATGTCACGTTTACACGCCAAAAGGCAGAGGTGCCGTGCCTTAAAATTTTGGGCACGGGTGCCCATTTTTAGGGGTGCCGTGCCCTAAACAGTGGTCATGTAAACCGGTCTTTTGATTCAATTTTTATCGTTAGGTATTAATACTGTTTAGTATAATTACATAGGTGATTATTGAAAATTCTCCACGCTGATTGGTTACCGTTGAGGTGATTATTACGCGATAATCACCTAAGCGATTTTCAAAATGGCGGCCGAAGCCGTTTTGTCAATTGAAAGACGAAGAAATGTGCATTTTTTTATTTTTTTCCAAATAATCACCTATGAAATTATACTAAAACAATTATTCAGCTCAGGCTCGGTGATTATCGGTGAATAAAAACCTCGACTTCGTCTCGGTTTTTATTCACCGATAATCACCTCGCCTTCGGCGAATAATTGTTAATTAAAATATATTTATTTGCGTTTTACGCTATTTTAAGAATTTGGCGGGACTTATATTTTACCGACATTTTAACAAAGATATTTCGGGCAGTTCGAGCAATTTAACCAAGATATTTCGGGCAGTTCGAAAACGGGTACAAATTACCATGAATTTCTTTACTGGTCGTGGCCAAATTGGTTACAGTAGTTACATTCCCACAGCAGGCCCATTTTACAGAACATATAAAAACAGTGGAGAAAACTATCACATAAAAAATATTTGTCATACAGACAGGTGGCAATGTGTACAATACAAAATAATGCAATGGACGATTTGCATAATAGACTAAATTTTGATCTAGACAAAAATTTCATCACAGTATCTTCATCACAGAATTTCATCACACATCTAGTATAGCCATGCGAAGTTTGCCGTTTTTCAGTCATTGACAGCCCAATCGGGTGTTGGGGCATCAATTTCCCGTTTGTAATACAAAATGACGGAAAATTGCAAATTTCGCAAGGCTATATATTACCCGCATTTTACAACATTTCGCAACGAAACTTCGGATATTACTAATTTTGTGATGCTCTTTCAAGCTGCGATGGAATTTTTGTCTAGACTTGTTTAGATCAAAATTTAGTCCATAATGCAAATGGTCCATTAATTGTGGTGGCTATTTTCTCAAATCGGTCATTATATTTTGAGCTGAAAGGCATTGTGGAGAGGCAGACATTATACAAAAATAATTATCACACTCACCACGGGCAGTCGCATCAAACTGTTGTGAAGTGCCATCTTCTTGACCAGGCTTGCACCTTTTCTTGGATTTGACACGAGTTAGCAACAAAAATATTGCCAAAAATTGTGAAGATAATTTGATTTGAAGTTCCTTCATAGTTTTCTTTGTACAGGTAGTTTGAAACGGACGGAACTCTTCAAATTGGGTTATGTCACGATTGTTTCAATATTTTAATTTCATAAAGCGATTGCTTTCATTCGTCCACTTACTTCAAGAATGCACCGTTCTGTCAGCTGACCAATGTTTATGTAGTCATAATAAACATAGACAAGCTGTCGTTGGTAGGGAAATAACTACTTCCAAAATTCGAAGTTATGAGCGAAGGTCCCTCGTCTGGAAGTTACTAGCTTTGGGAAATAACGTGAGCTTCTATGCTGAGAATATCATAAAAGCGTTCACCTAACAATAATCAAAACATAGTATAAACAAAAAGTAAATCACGTACATGATTATAGAATATATTAATTGATAGAAATATACAGACAATTGCAACAAATATAAAGATGTATATATGTATATTAAACTTAAAGTAGAGAGAAATTGAAACATTTTAAGATAACAAATTAATTCGTTCTTCTAAATATTTGTAGTATTGAGCACTCTCTTATCTGTAACGAAAAACAAGACAGTTTTTGCTGACGTGCACCGTCATTATCCGCACGCGTGTTCAAAATTTCCCGCCCAAAATTTCTCGCGATGGCGGCATTTTGCAAATATCTCGGGTCTATTGTTCAATGTTACATGTTTGTTTGCACCATTATCCAGAGATTTTCTTCTACGCAGAAATTGCAACGCTTTGCACCAGATGAGTATGCGCCTGCCCGCTTCAGAATTGACCATTTTAGATGTAATCTCTATTATTACTCTTTAGCCCCCAGAAGTACATTGACAGCTCTGTGTCGTTTTTATATCTTTGAAGTTTGAAGGATTTCTTATGATTTCCATATCTTTCTTTGAAAGTAGTCGCCGTCATTCCGATATACTCTTTTATGACACCGTCGTCGGGTGATGTAACTTGGGCATTGTACATTAAATAATGACATATTCGGTTAAATGGTTTGAAGATAACTGCTCAGATTATCAATAATCAAGTCGTCAACTTTCTGGATATTACGCTAAATTTCGAAAATAAAAAATTTGCACCGTATACAGAAAGCCAAACAACCAACCACTTTACGTTGAGATCCGATCAAACCACCCACCATCCATCCTAAAGCAAATTCCTATCTCAATTAACGAGCGTATCTCTTCCCTTTTATCTGACCATAGACAATCTAGAAGACAGGGACTGGAAACGCTTTGGCAAAAGCAATGATGCTGGCGCGACATCCGTGATGCGGCTAAATCACGTAGCAATTATCCGTTACCCCGGCAACCCGCCTTAATCTGAACAAAAAAACGTAAATCGTGTTTTATATTTTTGGGTTTTTTGCTGTTATGTATTTTTCAAATTTTGATTTTTTTACAAGGTATGTATGATTTAATTTGTTATTTTGTCGATCAATAGTAATCAAATTTTAAGTTTTGCCAGAAGCTTTA